TCAACGCAATCCAGAGAGCCGGGCCGGGGGTAAAACCCTCTACGGCATATGAGCTCAGTGGGCCAATATTGGATGAAGAGGTGGATGAAGTTAAAAAGTGGATTGAAGAATATAAACAGAGATGGCCAAGAACAGGCATTACTCTCATGAGTGATGGTTGGTTGAATAAAGTTAGCAAAAAGGGGTTTTTAAACTTCTTGGCCTATTCTCTAAAAGGTACAATTTTTTTGTCTAGCAAAGACGTATCAGGGACGAGGAAGAATGCAAACTTCTATGTACGACTATATGATCAGATAGTGGAGGAGGTGGAAGATAAGTATGTAGTCCAGTTTATTACAGACAATGCGCGTGCATGTGTTTTTGCGGGTAACAACTTGATGAATATGATGAAGCATCTAATATGGACATTGTGTACTGCACACAGCATGGATCTTATGTTAGAGGAGATCGGTGAGATCAAAATTGTGAAGGAAACTCTACAGGAAGCGACGTTAGTGTCAAGATTTATATATAATCATTCTACAATTTTATTTTTGTTAAGAGAACAGTCTAAAAAAAAAGAGATAATCAGGCCTGCCATAACCCGCTTTGCGACAGATTACTTGGTTGTGGACTCCATTCAGGAATCTGAAGGTGCAATAAAGAGATTTGCTTACCAGTGAAGAGTGATAAAATGACCACCTCTCGAAGTCCAGTACCGGGCTAAAAGTGGACGGTATAGTCTAAAATATGAGGTTCTGGTCTCGATGTTCAAGTATCGTAGAGGCCACTGCCCCTTTGGTCATGATGTTAAGAATGGTGGATGCTGGTAAGAAAGCTACCATGGGCATCGTTTATGAAGGTATCGAGAGGGCCAAATCAGCTATTGGGGAGAAGTGTAGTTTTGCTAGTAAAGTGATCAAGATTATAAAAAGAAGCTGGAACACTAAATTTGGATGTCCAATTCATTATGCAGGTAAATATATATTTACATCATTAGAATGTTTCATTCTAAATTTTTTTTTATGAAATTTTAAATGACATTTCTCTATCTATATATTTTCTAGGTTACTACTTCGACCCAAAATTTTTCTATTTGACACCTGAACATCCTCACAAGATTATGGAAGGAATCAGATACATTATTGCCAGGTTGGAGAAAAGTCATTGAAACCAGGTAGCAGCAATACAAGAGGTATTATTTAATATTTGGGTAAGAACTTGATTGAGTTGTTATATTTGTGAGGAATAATGCACTAAAACGAAATATTTTGTTTTAGCTTGCTATATATAAGGATGCTATAGGATCCTTGGGAACTAGACTTGCTAATAATTTTCGAACTAAGATGAATCCAGGTTATTCCCTAACTAATATTTTCTTCATTCATATATTTAATCTTATGAATTGTTCTTGCCCGTACAATGCTTTTTACATTTTAATCCAACTGAATGGTGGGAGATATATAGTAGTGATGCACCTCACCTAAAGAGGATAACAATCAAGGTGCTCTCGCAGACATGTTCTGCTACTGGCTGTGAGTGAAACTGGAGTACGTTCCAATGGTTGCACACTATTAGGAGGAATCGACTTGCTTCAGAGAAGCTTCATAAACTAGTCTATATTCATTACAACTTAAACCTCTAAGAGCGACAAATAAGATGGAAGCTTGAAGACTATGGGCCGATAGACTTGGACACAATATTTGTCACAGACACAACAAAACAATGGGTAATAGAAGAAAAAGAGCCAGTGTTGCGCAAGAGAGCGTTCCTTGAGGCTATCGGTGAAGTTGATATTGAAGAAGGTGATGAACAACATGAAAGAGGAAGCAGCCCGCCAACATATCCACAATTCGTCGGAGATGTTGGTGATATGGCACCTAATGAGGGAGAGTGGGAAGGGAGTTTAAGGGAAAATGAGAGAGATGATGATTCTGAGGCCACCCAATCCCATCCAAATTATTCACATATTGAGTCCCAACAACAAGAGGGTAGGGATGAGCACGATAGTGTAGGTGAGCGTGAAGGATGGACAAGCTTAGGAGATTTTGGATTAGGACCACAAAACACTAACACTTAGGGATTTGGGTATAGTCAAGTGCCCATTAATTTGGATGATTCGTTTTTAGAACGAGTCAATGAATTGTCACGCGAATTCAATTAATGGCACCAACGTGACCAAGATGAAGAATGACGTCGTCTGTCATTTTATTTTTAGATCGTATGTTACGAATTGTATGCTTTATTGTAGTTCATGTATGATGATATACTTAATCCATGATAATTATATGTTTATCCTTTTGTGTGTTGTAAATTAAATGGTAAATAGTAGTTCATGCAGGGACATATTCATGCAAAGAAATGAAAATTCTTAATGGAGTACCCTTATTTTTCATTGAATTCCTAAAAAACAATATTTATAATAAATTTTCATAGTTTTTTTGGATTTTTTTTAAAGTTTAATCCAACCGATTCAGTCGATTCCAGATTCGAAACGTCGATTCGCCGATTCGCTGATCCGGATGAGTTTTTGAGATACCCGATCCGGGTCACCGATCCGCTTTTTAAACAACTGCTCTCAGTGGCATGAGACAAACCCCGCCCAAAACGGCAACAATTTTAGCATTTCAACTGCCCCTTCCCGCCCCAATAATGGATACCCCATTCTCCTATATATCCTCTCTCTTCCACCTCCATCACTACTACCAACGGTGCATACGCAGTAGAAATGGCAGAGCAACAGTTGGTGCGGGTGCTAGATGGGTGCAATGGGGGAGCAACAGTTGGTGCAGGTGCTAGATAGGTGCAATCGCGTACCAGCAGTTGGTGTGGGCTCTTCACATTCTCGACCCTCTTCAAGGGCTGCTCGGCCTCCCAACAAGGGAAAAGGAGAAGGATGGTGGGTAGAGAGACAAAGCTAAGAGAGCGGGTAGAGAGAAAGAAAGAGAGAGGGTGAGTAGAGAGAGGTAGAGAGAGAATGCAAGAGGAACGGTTGGTAGAAGAAGAAAGTGTTGCGATAGGGGAGGAGAGAGAAAAATGACCATTTAGTCTTATACTTTAACTTCTTGATCAGGGTAAATATAAAAAAAAAAAAATTTGGGTGTAAAGTGTGATACTAAAAATGTGGGGGTAAATTGGTGCAAAAAACTATATTGGAACTAATTGATGTGAAAAACTCTCACATCTAATCACATGGAGGAGTTGAGATTGGCCTGGGCCTTGGCAATACTATTGCCGAGCCCCATGATGTGTTGTCTAAGTCCATTCTCCCCAAAGGGAAGGGGCCTAAATCTCCATTGACTGACCACTCTTTTAGGTGGGGTCCAAATCCCCATTGACATCACTTTTTTAAGGATGGCATATAGCCTTGGCAAAAATATTGTCGAGCCCTATGATAAAATCTCTTACTAAATTCTCACAAAAAAGTAATGGCCCAAATATCTATTGACTTGCCACTTTTTTTTAGGAAAAAAAACCTGAGTTTAATTAATTAGCACTTGACCATTTGCACCACTACGTTCTAGGCTTAATTCCTATTAGGGTAAGAACCCTCTCCCCACTAACTCACCGACAAAAAAAAAAAAAGAAAAAAAGAAAAAAAATTCTTACATAGTGGAGTTCTTTCGTATCAAAATATTTAGAAAACCAATAGAAGTGGAGAAAATGTATTTTGTGGATTTGTCTCATTACGTTGTGATTGGTGGTCATGGTTTGTTGGGCTCATCCGATTGAGCCTCTCGGAAAATTGTGTTGCAAAACTCTAAATGTCTGCACCGCAATCCAAAACATGGGGCAAAAATACTAAATTCGTGCGTATATGAGTAAGAAAAATAACATGCAACAAGTAAATAATTAATATATTAATAATTAATATGTCAAAATTTATACGGTTCACTTTTTTAAACCACGTCTATAAAAAAAATAATTAATATGTTAATAAAATAACATCATACAGTATCTTTCAAGAAGCAAGCTCTCCTAGTCTCTCTGAGTTTTTCTAGAGATCTTTCTCTCTTTCGTTTTTTTTTCCCTGGTGTTCTTATCGAAGACTTTCTTCTCTTCAATAGGAATTTCTCTCACTTAAGTTTTATTCTATCGAAAAGGCTTTTTTCTTTCATCGAGGCCTCTTATCTTTCTGTCTACAGAGAAAGGCCCTGCAACCCACAATTATTCTCGCTTCCTCTAGTTTCCCTTTCACTGAAAAAAGAGGCACACACTTCTTCCCTGTTTCATCTCATCAAAATAGTATTCTCTTCTATTGAAATTTTGGATATATGCTCTCTGGAAAGCAACAAATAACCTCCAAGAAAATAAAATTTAAATCTTATTATCCATATTTATCATCATCAAATTTTATTTTAATTATTTTATGTTGGCTATATAAATCTTGTTCTTCCATTTTTTTTATTCCAAATTTATGAAAAGATCTAACAAAATTTAATGACTACTTAATGCAACCCAACTTTTTTCCCTGGCTTGAGAAGGGTTAATTTTTTTTTTTTTAAGTCATCACTCTTATTAAACTACTCTTAATATCTTGGTGCCCTAAAAAAACAATTGATATCATGCACGGAAACAAATTTTCCTCTCAAAAATTTATAAGGAATGATCTAGACATTCAAGAACTCAAAATCCAAGTTTTCCTTTAAAAATTTCTAATAAAAAAAATATCAAGTAAATATTTTGGCCGAAGAAGCAAACGTACAATACGGCACTAAGAAAGCAGCACGTAGGCAATCTAAAATCATATCATTATTTTTTGAGAAAAGTTAAAACATACACTCTCTCTAGACATATAATTATTTTTTTAAAAAAAGTTTATTTAAAACCGAAGTTTTAATAAACAATCAAATTAAAACCTATTTCAAAAAATTCAATCAAATATCTTCAAAAAAAATAGATTTCAAATTTTAAAAATAATATATTTAATAATACATTTTTAAACTGTCAATTTTCAAGTTTTCATAAATACATCGATTTAAATTATTTTTTAATTTTTAAACTTTATACTATCCCAAAGATTTCCAATATTGAAACCACATTTCTGAACACTACTTTGATTTGATTGTTCAGAGCCTAAGCTCTAGCGCGAAAGCCGTAGCGCGCTTATCCGTTGGCGCTTGGGACCGTTGTGCCTTGATGCTTCATGGTAATCCGAATAAAATCATATTTATTCAAGAAATTACTCGAAATGATTTAATCTTTGTACACAAGTACCTATTTTAGTATTTTAAACGTTTTCGATCCGAGTCGTTAATTCAATGCAAAATCAGTTGTGATTAATCTGATTCTAGAAAGCCAATTTTTTTTAAAAAAACATGAATTTACCATTGAGGCATTTACAAAACATATCTTAAAAAAATCCCTCCCCCCACCCCTTCCAAAATAAAATAAAATAAAATAAAATAATCAACATTTCAATTTTCCCCCACCCCGGAATCCCTGATTTCTGATGCTCTGCTCTCAGAGATAGAAACCAACCATGGAAAATTAATCCAGACCATCCTCCTCTCTCTAGAATTTTCACCATCACCTTCTCTCTGTGCCTCACCAGAAGCACCCCTTCTCTCTCCAGAATCTCCTTCACCGCCACCCTCTCCTTCTACACCGCTAGTGCCTTTGTCTCTCTCCTCAGCAGGCATCTGAAACCTGCAAACAGGGCAAGTGCTGTGGAGCTTCAACCATGGAAGAATACACTCAGAGTGGTACTTATGCAGACATGGCATCTCTTTAGCCTCAACCCCAACTTCAAAATCCTCCAAACAAATGGAGCAAACCAACCCACTTTCCGAAATTCCCCTTGTCGTCATGCCCTCGACCGAGGCCTTTGAAGCAGGGGGGCTCCCATACTTACCTGCTTCATTCACAGCCAAGCTCTGCAAATATGATTCGAGGCTTCTCCCATGAATTATCACAGCTTGCTCAAATGGGTTTATCAGAATGACGCCTTCTTGGGCTTCTCTAATTGGATCCATGATATCGAAAAAAACAGGGATCCAAAAGGAAAAAGCTCTGTTTGGGCCTGAAATAACAGTTGGGTTTTGCTCAGAAGTGGCTGAGTCTGCCATGGATGAGGTTTTAGAGCTCTCTGAATAAGAGGAAAGGAGAAGAAAGGGACGCTGAGAATTTGGAAGAGAGCGATTTCTTATGTGGTTGAAGGTGAAGGGTAGGGGCACAAAAACGTCACCGCATACGCCCACAGGAAGGTTCTGGGCCATGAACAGAAGAGTCTAGAAGGTGGATATTTATTCATGTCTATCTGGTATGAGTCATGGGGGAGAGAGAGAGTCGGATACGAAATTTGGAATATTTTAAGAGTGATGGAACATCGAACCTTACCAAATTGGCCGGGGCATTAGGTGGAGCCTCCCTCATGAAGAAATGGACCGGCTATGTCGGTGGGACACCGACAATTGGGGGTCAGGCCTAAGGCTGCCAACTATCTGGCCCTGTTACTGGGCCTCGGCCTGGGCCTGGGACTTGGCCAAGAAAATCCTGAACAGTTTTGGGTCAACCTGCTAAGGCCTAGACTTGGAATAAGCTCAGTAAAGGGTTGTGCTCGGCCCGGCCCGACCCTTTTTTTTTTGAAAAAATCTTTCTATTTAAACGGTTGTTATTTTGTACATAATGGAAAATCAAATATAAATAAACCCAAACCTAAAAAGAAGACAAAGGCATAGCAAAATTATGAGATAAACTAGGAAACATGTTTTAGACTTATTGAAAGAATTGAAAAATCAAGAGTCCAACTCGCTGACATCCCTGTTGATATTAATTGCAAGCTTAATTAAATAAATGGAAAACCTCTTAAAGATGTGAGCCTCTTTTAGAGATTTGTCGGCAGATTTATTTATTTGGCTGTGACATGATCATATATAATGTATGTGGTTAACTTTATGAGCCAATTTATGCATGCTCTTAGCTCATGTCATATGGAGGCTGTTCATAAGATTCTCAGATATCTTAAGTCGTTACTTAGCAGAGGTATTTGGATGAAACATAATGGTCACATTAATATTATCGGTTATTTTGATTCTGTTTAGGCAGATAGTCGAATTGGCAAGAGATCCATTACTGACGTACATTGGTCGAAAGAAGCTTAATTAATTGGAAAAACAAAAATAAAAATGTAGCTGCTCGATCCAGTGCAAAGACCGAATATAGAGTTATGACTTAACTATAAGTGAATTGATATGGTTAAAATCACTACTTCGAGATATGGGGTTCTCTACGGTCAATTCAATAAAGATGTTATGTGATATTCAAGCAGCTACGCATATAGCATCCAATCCAGTTTTTCATGAAAGACGAAGCATATATAATTTTTTTGTTTTTGGCTAAGTCAGTGGGAAAGATAGCCCCCTATCCGTGCTTTCAAGTAGATTAGAGTTAACTTTTTGAAGGTGTCAGTGGAGTGGTATTAGTGATGGGAGTGTGGGGGTGCTATCACCATGACCCTAGTCCCATTCCCGAAGTTTATAAAATTGATTTTTATTTTGTGAGAAAAAATGTTCAGTAATAAATTATTAGTACTCCTTATGTAAAAAACTTAAGACTAACTTGCAGACATATTTACCAAAGTTATTGCAAAGACAAAGTTTCATCAGATACTGACCAAGTTAGGCTCCATAAATTTCGACACACCAACTTGAGGGGGAGTTTTGACAAGTATAACAATAAGATATTAAGTTATCTATTTTGTAGATTATAAGATATTATGTTTATTTTGTGGTATTACAATTGTAATGAGATTTATTTATTAAAAGATAATAATTGTAATTCTATAAATTTTTGGTAAACTAGATGAGAGATTGATTTACTTTATGTGAACGTAAACAATATTGACGAACCATGCGCATGCCTTGTCCATCCATTTCTTTTCCTCTCTTATCTATTTCTTTTATTGCATTCTTACATGCTCACTTCCTCAAGTGATTGGATTCTATGGACTAAAAAGTATTACTTCATAAAACAGACAAAAAATGCCCATGGTTTTTGGCTTCATACCAAAACAGGATGACGATAATATCTTTGAAGCCAATACTTACTTGCGCACGCAGGAGATTACTGTGCATTGATTCCCTCAGGTACAATATTTTTAAGACACCAAAACTTAGAGAATATAGCCCCCTCGACATGATGACCAACCTCAAAAAGAAAAGAGATAATAAAATACCCAATAAAATTCCACATCACTTCTTACCAGTGATTTAAAAAGCAAATCGATGATCCCAAAAACTTGTCCGGATCAGTGAGTCAGCAATCCAGAACGGATCAATGAGTTAGCAATTCTGGTCGTCCTTTTACCATGTGAAAAAAATAGTGAATTGGTAAAAAAAACAAGTGAAAAAATAGTGAACCGACCAAAAACCAGTTCGGATCGATGAATCGGCAATCCATACTGTTTTACTGTAGAGAATAACCATTTTACTATGCAGGATTGTCAGTTGCCTAGACTCAGCTATTTTCCTATATATATGTGTAATCGGAAATGAGGTAACTGATTCTTGAGTCAGATTGCGTGACTTCGTATCAACCAAACATTTTTTAAATTACTACTTTTCATCATTATTGCCCTAAGATTTTATTTCGATTATATGAGAAATCTCTAAAACTGTATGATCTTTCATCCATTCAAGCTGGACAACCAGGATCTGAACTTAGGGTGGCAATATATTTCAGAAAATTAGCCTAGGTATAAATTGGCTAGCGTTTGGCGATTTGCAACCCTAGATCCTAGGCTCAACTCCACCAAATGTACCAGAAAAAAAAAAAAAAGCATTTTGAATAATTTTGAATTACATTCTATTTCTTTTCTAGAGGTGTAGAAGTCCTCGGAAGTTTTCGAGACAAGGTAACACAACAATATAGAGTTCTAGATATACAGAAAATCTACCAATGTTTCAAGTTGAGGAAAATAATGGATTCAATAATTTTTGAGGTAACATGACAATATAATGTTCTTAGGCTCCATTCGCTCCCGCTGGAGCAAACTGTATAGTAGTCAAATGGGCAGTTTGCGCCTGCAGGAGCATAGTATACCCTCTCATGTCTGAAACAAAAAAGACTTGAAGAAACCATGGGCATTTTTTGTCTTCAAGTCGACCCAGGTGCTAGCGCTAATGAAACAGTTTTCACCGGTGCTTGAAAACTCGGATTGGTAGGGGCATTATTCATCCACGTATCTATGTTGGCTCATTGGAATAGCCATTAAGATCCGGTCTAGATCGATCCGAATCGGTGGCCTAAAGATATATTAAAAAATAAATAAAAATAAAAAGGGTTTAGAGGGTAAGGATATAGAAGGGACATGAGAAAATATTAAATTAAATTTTAAAAAAATTCGTAAGGGATGAGACATAAAACAGCTAAGATGGCAAGTTTTCCGATTTATAAATGGTTGAGTCACTAAAGAATTAAGCAATGAGTCTCAAGTCGGTTTTCTTTTAATAATTCAATTAATTTTTTAATTGCAAGTGCTCTACATAATAACGATATTAAGGGCCAATCCAATTAACTTAGTCAATCCAATTAACTTAGTCAACTTCCTTAAGCTTCCCGCAAGAACCATGTGAAATTCTATAATGTATTTGAGTGGTCTCACATGAAAATTACCATGAAAAATGTAGTGGTGGGTTGCGTTTCCATTTATACAATGTAGAATTTGAAGCTCGGTTTTAGGTGATACGTAAGGCTTGAAATCCTTGTTTTTTGTAGGTCCATCGAGACGGACATAATCTATCCACAATTTTTTCGTACAAAATCTGAGTTTTCTTAAGGGAATTGAGGTGAGAGTTTATGAAGCTGTGACCCTGCCAAATGCATTCTCAATTCTATTCGAGGGGTTGAGGCAGTACCAATGGGCGAGGATACAATAGTAATTCCATGTCCATTGGTGGGCAATTCTACTAGTAGATTAACACTTGATAAAAAAAAAAGACTTGAAGATTCAAAGTTTGAACTACTGTATTCACCAAAATAAAAGACTTATATAGTATTTTAAGACTTTGAATCTTTCAAGTCTTGTTTTTTTCAACGGTTCGAAGCTCCAATTAAATCAAGGCCAGCGCAGGTCCACACAACTCTGAGTTCATCAACCTGTAAAAAATTCCATCGACATGAGCCTCGTATAGATACACAAACATGACAGCCAAAGTATTCCAATTGCAAACTAGCCCATGGCTTCATCTTCCTTAATGATCCCATTCTCTCTCCCTTCTTCCAAATTACAGTACCAAAATATCAAAAACCCAAGCCTTTTGAAGAATTTCTGTTATTAAATCTAGTCTTCAAGTCCATGAAAAATACAATCAAGGCCTTCATATCCCAAAACCTCTTCATTTGAGCCCACCCCGAGACCATGAAATCCCTGCTGACTCTCCAAAGCAAGACATCCATGAGAGATGGCAAGAGATCCATGGTTCAAACCACTGGCAAGGCCTTCTCAATCCCCTCCATCCGTGGCTCCAAAGAGAGATAATCAAATACGGAGAGCTTGCGCAAGCAACATATGATGCCTTCGATTTTGATTGTTTCTCTCATTACTGTGGAAGCTGTAGGTATAGTCCCTCTCGTCTCTTCCAAAAGCTTGGCCTCACCAGGTGTGGATACAAGGTGACTAAGTATTTATATGCTATGTCCCATGTGGATCTGCCCCATTTGTTGAACCGCTCGTTAACAGGCAACAAGTGGAGCCGAGACTCAAATTGGATGGGTTATGTGGCTGTTAGTGACGACAACGAGTCACAACGTATTGGTCGCAGAGATGTCATAGTAGCATGGAGGGGCACAGTTACCCCTCTAGAATGGGTTGAAAACATCCAAGAGAGGCTAGAGAGTATAGAACAACATGATGTGGATGTCAAGGTTGAGCATGGCTTCCTTAGCATATTCAGGTCCAAGAGTGAGGCAACAAGGTACAATAAGAGTAGTGCTTGTGAGCAAGCTATGAGAGAGATTGAGCGTGTTGTTAGCTTCCATAGAGAAAGAGGAGAGGGAGTTAGCCTCACTATAACTGGCCATAGCCTTGGTGGTGCCCTGGCACTTTTGAATGCCTATGAAGCCGCTATCTCCCAACTCGACATTCCAATCGCTGTATTCTCTTTTGCGGCTCCTAGGGTTGGGAACACGGCCTTTCGGGACAGGCTCAAACACTTGGGGGCGAAGACATTACGCGTGGTTATTAAACAAGATGTGGTGCCTAAGATGCCAGGTATTGTATTTAATGAAGGCATGAAGAAGTTTGAGGAAATCACTGGGTCTTTGCAGTGGATGTACACTCACCTTGGTGAAGAGCTCAGTCTAGATGTGAGCTCCTCTCCTTTCCTAAAGCATGCTTGGAACCCAATTGGGTTCCATAGCCTTGAGACATACTTGCACCTAGTGGATGGATACTCGAGCCAAAATGAGCCATTTAGCCATGCTGCAAAGAGAGATATAGCACTTGTCAACAAGGCTTGCAACATGGTGGTGGATGAGCTTAGGATACCCCCTTGTTGGCACCAATTAGCTAACAAAGGCTTGGTACAAAACAGCTATGGCAGGTGGGTTCATCCAGAAAGAGATGTTGAGGATATACCTTGTCCCTTGGGCTCAAATTTAAGTTACACTTGAGAATCATTGATTTTGTGACTTGACCCTTTAGTGAGATTCATTGATTTTGTGACTTGACTCTTAAGTTACCACTTGTGTGGTAGTGTTGCAATTACCACTTTTGTGGTAGTGTTGCAGTTTACCATGACTCTAGTGGTGAAGATTTGAAAATGAGAGGTTTATGTAGAGCATAGAGGAGCACCTAGTTGGAGTTTCCTCTTCCAGTTTGAGGGAGCAAAATATGAGATAGTTTATGAACTTTGTGAATCTATGAAGGAGGATTCATCCAAGGAAGTTTCCTCTTAGCAATACTTATCTATGATAGATTCAATTTATCTTTTGTGTTATCATGCTTGTTTTAATATCGAAAATATCTTGGATAACCTCCCTGTAAAATCAATTTATCTTGATATTTTAATGCTTCCTGTCATTACCGCTGTCGAAAACTTTTCCAAAAATATCACGTGTAATTTAAGACAAAAACTATTTATCCAATAAACATTAAAGGGAAATTATCAAATATGAATACGGGAAGATACATGTCTTACTTAAACCAGCTCTATAATGTTAATTTGGCAAGTGGGGTTCAATTTGCATGGGATTTGACGATTGATGTGTAAATTATTGCTATTATGTTGGACAGTGATATTTGATATTTTAATCATAATATACATTAGAATTTATCATCAACTTTATTAATAGAAAATTCTTTTGTAATAAATCATTATTTATATATTTTAATGCCCTAGTAAGTATGTAATAAATTCCCAATAAAAAGAAAAGAGCTTAAAATATCTTTGGAAGCTTCATCTACACCTCATCACTTAAACTAATTAGATTTATCTAAAATTTGGAGTGTGTGTAAATATGACCAAGTCACACCAAAATAAAATACTAAAAAAATAATAGTCATAAAATAAAATGATGAAATTACCGCTGAAACGTTATAGGGGTATTTTGCATAATTTTTATATTTCAAATTATTTGTTTTATATTTTATTCATGTGCATTTCACTAAGCAGCACACACTTACAAAATTTCAAATCATTATGATTTGTAAAAAAAATTAAAATTAAAACACTATTAAATATATGTGACTGTGTGATAACTTCACCTATAGGTATTTTGTAGTGTCGACGAATGCCGATAATATCCCAAAAATTTCAGATCATTATGATTTGTAAAATAAATTAAAATAAAAACACTACTGTGACTGTATGATAACTTCACCTATAGGCGTTTTGTAGTGTCGACGAATGCCGATAATACCCCAATAACGATAATTGCTGTTAGAACTTCTCTTACAAGGTGGACCTTCTTTTGACATAGATTATTTCTTTTTCTTCTGCTACTTCTTTTCTTCTATGGAACCATTATTTGTTTTATTAATCATAAAATTAGTAGGAAAATTGTTATGTTGGTCACCTACCTATTTTGTGATGCATTCTAATCCTCTTCTTTATTGTATTAGGAAAATTTACGTACAGACCATAGTTCCCTCTTTATTATGAAATGGGCTATAATGTTACCAAACTTACAAGGAGACTACCCCCCAACTGCTCCTTTTTTTTTTCAAGAGTTGCACACCAACCCCCCTGCCCGGCCTGACATTTCTAACATCAGACAGATGAGAAATTCTCCATTTTTCTATCTTGGTTTATTCAAGGCAAGTCCAATATCCAAAATATTGAATGACCCAATTCACAATGTTGGACAGCCTCGTGAGCTATATGAAAGTGTGAACCCTTGTTGGAAAATTGGTTATGCTAATCGGTAACCGCCCGGTTAGACAGTTCTGGTTTTTGGTCAGTGTTGGTTACCAAGTGGGTATTTTTTAAAAAAAAATTAAAAAAATATATAAAATCCCAAAAAATAAGAGATTTTGTTTGTATAAAATCCCAGAAAATAAGAGATTTTGTTTGTAATGTATTTTTTAATATTTTTCATCATTATGGAAAAAATTTAAAAAAATTTTGTCCAGTAATATTTATTTTTATATTTCTTTTTTAGAAAATTTCAAAAATACTTCTAGGCGCAAATCTATTCTTTAAAATTTATTTTTTTAATTAATTTTCAATTTTAATTGGATGTGATTTGTTTAATTATTTTTTAAATATACTTTCTATATGTTAGTAGATATTTTTGTATTTTTTAACACTTTTTTGACTACTGGGGACTTAGCTGGTTAGAATGGTTGAACCGATGGTTTACCGGTTAGGCCAGTTGAACTGCCTTTGGCCCAATCAGTTAACCGTTTCAGTTCGGTTTTTCTTACACTGGTGTGAACATCGAAGAGCCTAAGAGATAAGGCTGTTCAGTGTTGCACATATTATACAACTTAAAGCTTTTTTAAAAAAGATGTACATGCTTTGTGTACCATTAGGAACATCAGACAACTTACATGCTTTGTGTACCATTAGGAACATCTCTAATATTTCTAATGTCGGACACACTAGGAACTTTTGGAGCTGTCCGATGCGGCAAGCATCAAAGAACTATCCGATGCGGCAAGCATCAAAGAACTAACATATAGGGCTGTTCGATGATATTGGGAATGCCCTGTATAAACAAAAATTAAAAAAAAAATTCCCACATGTCTAGTGTTGGAAATGTTATGTAGGTGGGGAATTCTTAGAAAATGGGCGAGGGGGTGGGGTGCTCTTTGTGTAATTTCCACAAAAATGTGGAGCGTTTCTTAGTAATGGCCCTAAAAATCAGGCCCGTGGGCTATCTAGCGGATATTAAACAACCCAACAAATGGTGTTGTTTGGTGTCGCAAATCCCAGACAACGTGTGCACTGTGCACCATTGGCAACATCCGACAACATGTTCATGCTGTCCAATATTACTAACGTTGGCCACTTGACTTTTGGGATTGTTCGACATTGCAAACACCGAACAACCTAACAAATAAGGTTGTTAGGTGTGTTGGATATCAGAAACCCTTGAATAAATGAAAATTAGAGAATTGGAGAATTTCACACCAGTCCGGTGTTGCCGGGTCGGCATTTATGAAAAAAGGGTGACGGTGTAGGGTGGTCTCAATGTAATATCCACAATAATATAGAGCATTTGGTAATACAAGGGAGAAAATATGATCCTTACATAATTTTTGTTAAAAGGAGCAATTCGTTGAGGAGTTGTTCGTCAGAGGAAAAATAATTTTTGTTAAAAAGAGCAATTCGTTAAGAAGTGGTTCGTCAGAGGAAAAAAAAGCAAGTACTCGCTAAAATCAATGGAGACAATTCAGTGGCTTGTACTGATTGTTTATCATATTATTCATGGGTTTCTGCAAAGACAGTTACGGCAAAGAAGAAAAGTTAGGTCTGCATCCTCTGAGAGAGGGATAGATACATATGCTTGAAGAAACATATTAAGTTGTAGTTGACAGTTACACTAAGAAAACCCAGACAGAGAGAGAGAGGGGGTGGGGGAGGGAACTTGGTTATATTGAGAGAGAGAAAGATGCATGCATCGAAAGAGCCAGAGAGGGAGAGATGCTTCGTAAGAACTAAACCTAGTTATTTTTAAACCGTTACACCAAGGAAAACCTAAATGCATACAAATGAGCATTCACGCCGAGTTAGTGATTCCTGTCTAAGTCATTAAACCCTTAGCTAAAAATGAACACTCTCCAACAGCGGCTTCCAAACCCTAGATACACAAACTCTCTGCTACCCTCATAGAGAGAGAGAGAGAAAGAGAGAGATGTTGAATTCTTGAAACAAAACATCTGCTGGAAGGTTTGCCTCTCTTTTGCTTCATGTGGGCTGGAAGCATTTCTACCCTCATAGAGAGAGAGAAAGAGAGATGTTGAATTCTTGAAACAAAACATCTGCTGGAAGCTTTGCCTCTCTTTGCTTCATGCGGGCTGGAAGCATTTCTATATATCGGTCCAGAAAGTGTATTTCTATATATCGGTTCAGAAAGTGTAAAGCATCTATCAAGTAAGCAGGTGTTCCATCTAAAAACAATGGAAACTGATGGTCCAAATATTTCTTACTAGAATTATTAGTTCTAGTTTTTAAAATTT